GCATTTTACAAGACATGAGATTTGAATATTAACACAATCTTAGTTCTCATTGTAGAGTAAGGATTATATCTATAATATGACAAATTGTTTTAAATTCAACAATGTTTTACAAGAATCAACTATACAAGCTAAATCGTGTGAGAGGGTTGCTAACTATACCTAATTGATAAAAAAAATATAAAAAACCTAACTCCTTAGCCTTAGAACCAAAGAAAGTGCGGTCCGTCAAAGTCAATTCTATGGTCTTGCTAAACTCCATGAAAATGGGAAACCTAGTTTCCATATCAAATGCAAGGCCTAGATTCAATTTTTTCATCGAGGAAAATGCTTCCTCGGTGTTCTAAAAAAAATTGGCATGCTGCATTGTCAAGATATCAATTTTACCTATTTCATGTATGAGTAGTAACCATATGCATTGGCAGAGGGCAGTGTAGAAAAAAAAATGTGAATTAGCAGAATTAGTGGTCAAGTGCTATTTTTACTTGGTATTGTAATCCTGACCGTTAATTTGGATATGAGGGTTATAATCATATATTCTCATGTTCTCATATTAGCGAGTATTCTCACTTGAGTCAACCCCAAATATAGGGTGACTCAAGTGAAAACACTTACTAATCTGAGAATATGAGAACAATCAATATTTAACCTTTAGATTAAAATCGACGACTTAAATTAAAATATGTTATCGCGTATTGTTGCCAACATAGTTTTCTTTATCATTGTTATCATCATCTTTGTTATTGCAACCACCACCACCACGTTGTTGCCACATTATCGTCATTATTGCCACTACCACCTGAACTACACCATTATCACATCATTATTATCGTTGTTGTTGTCTCAGTTGTTGTTGTCACTTCCATCGTTGTCACTAACGTTGCTTCCACCACCATCGTCACAATTGTTACTGCTTCCACCACCAACATTGTTGTTGCCACCTCTACCACATCACCACCACCTTCACTGCCATTGTCGTTGTTGTCACCACTACCTTCGATGATGGTGACAACGGTGACAACAACAATAATGATAAAGTTGATGACAAAATAATCATGTAACTTTTCTATAGTGGTGGTGGGGGTGACGATGACAGTGATAGCAGTGACAATGGAGGTGATGGTAATGTGAAGAAGGTGAAATAGAAGTGGAGGTGGAGTTAACGACAAAATATAGAAAAAATGCAATGACAACAATACGTTATAACTTTATACATAACTTTTGAATTTAAACCATTTATTTTAATCTAAAGATTGTCATTTTTTATTTTTATGTTTTTATATTAACCTGTGTTTTCACTTAAATCGTCCCTTATATATACACACACATATATTCATATATACATATTATACTTTATTTTGTGATTTAAGTTTTTATTGCACTTTATTAAATAAAAAAAATATTTTACCAAAAAAGTACTTTTGAAGAAAAACAAATTTTAAAGAACAATAATTCTACAAGACATTCATGTGTTAAAATTTTAATAAGAAAGATGTGTTCAAGCGAGGAGTTTGCCAAATAAAATTAAAATCTCTAGGAAAAAGGTATCATAACACAGAAATTAAATTTAAAATCCATGAAATTGGCTAAGATTATGGTACATAATTTAAAGAAATCACATTTAAGATTAACAAATCAACTAATAAAATAATATATTTTAACATATTTTTAATTATCTTCAATCTAAATTATTCATTTATTTATCCACCCATCGTGCTAGTTCATATCTAATTTGTTATTGGAGATTGTATTATTTGAAGTTTTAGGCCATATTCTTGGGATGATCTCTTTAGCATGAGCTCTTTGAGTCTAGGCATTTGAGCAAATATGTTCTTAATCTCCTTCAAGTCAAATTATTTGAAATCGATCTCTTTGCACTAACAAACTCGGTCTAGCATAGGGTTGGCAAAACGGGTTATGATTCGTGGATTGATCTGTTGGCTTATAAAAAATTTGTGGGCTAAGTTAGGTTTTTTAACTTGTCAGCTTGTCTAACCCATTCTGCTTAACTTATCAGCGCACTTATTTTTTTAATATTTTTTTGTTTAGTTATTATTTTAATGTAAATTTAATTAAGTCACTTTAGATTTATTTTGTATATAATTTATGATTTGTTGTGCAACAATTTGTGCATTTAATTTATTTTAATATATATAATTTAATATTTGTTGTGCAATAAATTTGTTATAACATCTATGAATATTATTATAATCACATATATACTTAGATACATTGATATATGTAAGTTTTTTAGATATTAAAAAAAATATATTATAAAAGTAATTAAAAATAAATGCAATTTTTTTCTTTTCTTTTTTCTCTTTTTATTTGTTATTTATTTTTTTGTGAACCAACCTGCGAAGTTACCCTTAGATAGGATGAGTTAAGATGTCTAGTACATTTTTGTTCGTAGGCCGACTCAATCTAACCTACTTTTAGTGGACCACATGCAGGCCAAACCTAAATAAATAAGACCGGTCCACTTATCTCCCTAATCCAATACTCATTACCTTTGTTTATGACATGGACCCTCTAGCATTTAGAAACTATAACAGTAACAAATAAAATCAAGAGATGTTTTTCTTATGATATGCTTAGTTAGTTTTCATATTCTTTTTGTGATCCACGAAAATTAACTCTGCATTATAAGGAATAATTTATTAGTTTAAGTAGAATATTAATATCTCTTTAAAAACTCTAAGGGTGTGTATTGGTTTAGGATTTCGTAGGATTTTAAAAGACTTTTTTTGACTAAAAAAGTCCATTGGTATTCAATCAGGATTTTATGTCACTTAAAAACAATACAGTGGTATTCAATATGGATTTTCAAGATTTTTTAAAGAGTCCATTAAAATCCATTGGTATTCATTTGAGATTTTTTACAACTTAAAAACAATCCATTGGTATTCAAAAATATAAGGATTTTAAAGGATTGTTGTGTGAGAGGGATTTTGAAGGACTTTCTAGTGTTATCTATAAATACCA